AGTGAGAGGATGGAGGGGACGGCCGGTGAGTCGGAGGAAACAGCTGAAAGGAGTTCAGCAGAGGAACGATGGGACGATGCGAGCAGGAAGATAAGTGCAGGGCTGGATGGAAAAAAGTGATGCAACTGAAATGAGAAGCACTTTCATTTAAGAAGCGAGTGATCAAAAGAGAGGAGTTGGAGAAGTGCTCGGAGTCAGAAAAGAAGCTGCTTTGCATTTTTCTCACGCCAAGCTGACCTGACTGAACAAATGAATTCTGCTCTCCGAGCAGCAGCAGCGTTGCTCTGAGGTCCAACATCTTTCTGCGTCTGAACTCAGCTGAGCTCTCCTGAAAGGTCTCATCAGTCGGCGCACGTTACCGCTGATAATTGATGTGGCTGTAAACAAACGATGAGCTGCCTCCTCGCTCTTTGAATGTGCGTGCAGCGTGATTGAACACGTTCACCGCTGCGCACCAGCGTCAACCCTTTCATTCAGCTGGAAGGGCTCCGAAGAAAACGTGCAACACAGCTTTTGTTTTTAGGTTTTAACAAATGTTTAATCTTAAATAATTCACATTTGTATCAGTCAACAAGCTTTCACAAAGTCATGCACTTATTTTCAAGGGGGTCTGTTATATTTATGTAGATATATACTTTATTATTCCCTGGTGGGGGGGGCATCAGTAGCATTTTCTAATTATACAGAAAAAAATACACATGAAGTAATCAAAAAAAGAAGCAGAATACACAAATTTAAAAAAGACAAAAATGCACAAGGTGGTAGGGAGTCCTACATTCATGATTAACCTGTATACAAACATACACACACATATACATACAGTACATATATATGCATATTTACATATGTATATGTATATATACATTTTTCATTCAACCTTTATTTCTACAGGTAAATCCCATTGAGCCTCGAGGACTCATTTACAAGAGAGACCTGATTTAACAAAGAAAGATGACAACAAAGGACAATTATAAAAAGGCATACAGATATTTTATTTTTATTTTTACAAATAAGATGGTAACATACATACATACATGTACATGAGTGTCCGGGGTGCTGCAGATTTACACGGCTCTATTTTTATTGAATGGGGAGGAGTTGAACATTCTGACGGCTGAGGGACAAAATACTTCCTGAATCTGTCCATGGAGCAGGGATGGGACTTTATTTTGAAATCCAAACATTCTTCAATTTGTCTTCTGGGATTTGTGTTTGTTTGTTTTCATTTTAAAACCTGAATTTTGTAGAAACGCAGTGATTGAAAATATACAGGGGGGGTGCAGCCATGATGGAAGAATATAAGAAAGAATAAACCAGAAACTAAAGAGCTTGTCATGGTGGTTTCTCCATTCTTCTAGGGAACAGAGCACCTGCTTTGATTGTTATCATCCCCATGGGTGGCGTTCAGACTGTCCCTCCTGTACCTCCTAGCAGGTTCTGATCACTGATAATAGGGTCAGGGGGTTAGGTTAAGAGTCAAGAGTCTGGGGTTAAGTTTAGGGCAGTACTCTGGGTCAGGTGTAAGGTTAGGTTTAGTAAAAGGGTTAAATAAAACTAAAAACAACAAACTTCTGGTTTTACACGCGTGCAAAGCTGCATATTATCAGTGATAACAACGTACCTTTAAACCTACTAGGAGGTAGGAGCGAGAGTGATAACAACTAATAATAACTGTCATTTAACGGACTGATCACATTCAAAGCCGCTGAGCAGAGGGGAAGGTGGTAAACCCTCCAACTGTTGTGTAAATGTACGTTAAAGGCTTAAAACACGAGTCCAGTCACATAAAGTCCAACTTTCTGTGACCCGTTTCAACTTGGAACATTTCTGCTGTGAAGACTGAGACGTGGAGCTGCTTTCAACTACATCCTCTTGTTGTTCATGACCTGCTTTGACTTCTCTACTGTGTCCACCCAGCAGAAACACGCTCCAGGTCTCAGATGAGTGTTTTGATTCTGCCTCAGACTCGTGCGCTCGCTCACCATCCGGCTCCGTTTGACTTTATCCTCAGCAGGACGGTGAATCCTCTCCACCGTTCTCAGCGAGCTGACCTCGTTCCTCTCCGTCTCTCTGCCACCGCCTGCTCTCTATTCAGCGTTTCAGTTTGAATACTTCAGGGCTGTAAATAGGAATTTATTTCGTCCTGCTGTCGTCTGCCATCAATCTGCCGCCGGTCGCTCATCGTCTCTGTGAAACTTTTCAGAGCGCACGGGGGATTTTCTTTGCATATATCATTCCGTCTTGCGCTCTCCTTTTCTTCTCATGTGAATTTATTCCAGGCCATGCTGAGCGAAACTTATCAACTGCATGGAGAGAATTAATGTGATCCTTCGCTCAATCCGCAGAGAAAGTTGAACATTTACTGTATTTTTCAGCCTATAAGTCATTTGTATATAAGTCAGTAAGCAACGTATTTATGTTTTTTCCATATTTATAAACCAATTTTGGCTGAGAACTGACCATTTTCATTCATTCTGACTGAAAATATTGAACACTACCATTTTCAGCTGCTAGATGGCACTTGCGTAGTATGGCACGCTGTTATGTCATGTAATATAATAGGTAAAAGTGACTATTAATGACACAATGGGTCTTAGTCCAGCTCGCCCGGAGCAATCGTCAAATCATCTTCATTTCTCTGCACCGCCCCGGTGAAATGCAGCTAATTTGACCGTTGAAGTGCATTTATTAAGTAAAAGTTCAACTGACACACCTTTACTTTAAAGTCAAGCAAACAAATAATTGTTTTAGGTGTTTATCTTGTTAAATTTCAAAGAAATGCACAGCGAGCCGTCCCTCTGCGCGCTCCTGCTTCTGCTAATCAGGTTTTGAAATGCAGCTGATTTGACGGTCAAAGTGCATTTATTAAGTCAAAGTTAGACTGAGACACAACTTTACTGTAGTTCTGAGCAAAGAAATAATTGTTTTTAAATGTTAAATTCTTGTTAAAGCCCTCCCGTGCACGCTCCCGCCAGCCGATTGATTTTGGCACAACACCGGCCACATTTCCAGGTTGTCAGCGGTGATGCGTAGTAGATTTCATTCACTCAACCTTTATTTAAACAGGTCAATAAAGATGCGACGTATACAGCGAAGCGACATATTTATGGATTTTTCCACTTTATTGGACATTTTTGGACTGATGCGACTTATAGGGCAGACAATATGGTACGTGCTCACAGAAACCAGGATCTCCTAGAATAAGACACCCATAATGAGTTAGCTTCTTTAAATTGTAATAGTTACAGAGCTCTGCTGGAGACGTGCTGTTTACATGTTGGATGTCTCAGCAGACAGAAACACGAGCGTTCTTTAATTTACCATCACTCTGCTCTGCCTCTCCTCACATTTCTTCTTTTAATCTGCCCTCCTGTCCTCTGAGACATTTATTATAAAAGCTGTTCCCTGAAAGTTTCTGTAGAAACGTTGTGGAGCTGAGAAAAGTTTCCAAAGGCTTTAAAAACGTCCAGAAGTCATCTTCATATTTACAGCGGCTTCGGCGGGAGCTGGAGGGAACGAGTTCATCTTTAAATCAACCCAACAAGCAGAGTTTACAGTTTGAAGCAGAAGTTCTTCAAAGTTGCTTCACTTCACGTTAAACCAGTTTAATTCAGTTTATTTACACACGGAAGAAAAAACTATTCCAAATCATAAATCTAATCCAATTATTGCCATTTTATTTCCTAATATATACAAAAACATTCACATTCATGATCAAATGAAATTACTAACAGTTTTCTACGTAAGGAAACCAACAGACTGAGACGAACCTTCTCTTCGTTAGTTTCCATCCTGAGCTGCACGAGGGCAACAGGAGGAAACAACTCCTTTAACTAGGAAGAACCCTCCAGCAGAACCAGAACCAGGCTCAGGGGTTTGAAACGACAGGAAGAAGACTGACAGACAGGAAGTGGTCCACGTGGAGTTTCTATAGTCCACTGTCTATGGCAAGAAAAACAAAGAAAATACATGTTGACAGCAATAATTTCATGAGTGGAAAAACTAAAGACAGCACCAGAGTAAGGGGTTCCTCCAGCAGTGTACGCCTTTAGCAGCAGAACTAAGGGAGAGCTCAGGAAACCCAAGCCAACCCCAACTATAGGATTTATCAAACAGCAAAGACTTAAGCCCAGTCTTAAAACTGGACAAGCCTCACGGACAGAAACTGGAAGTTGGTTCCACAAGACAGGAGCCTGAGAACTGAAAGATCTTCGTCCCGTTCTGCTTTTTGAAACTCTAGGAACCACAAGTAAACCTGCAGTCTGAGAGCGAAGTGCTCTCTTACATAAAACAGTTTAATCTGCATTATAATCTGGAGCTTTGATGTTGAGAGGTTTGGATGTTTTGAAGGAAGACTGGATTTGACAGGGAGCCAGTGGAGAGAAGCTAAAACTGGAGAGATATGATCTCTCCCAGTAACTCCAGTTAAGACTCTGGCAGCAGCATTTTGGATCAACTGAAGACGTTTTAAAGAAGTATTTGGACACACAGATAATAAACCATTGCAATAGTCCAGTCTAGACGTGACAAATGCATGGACCAGTTCTTCTGCATCATTTTTAGATCAGATGTTTCAATTTTGTTTCATATTTTTATGACTTGTGTTAATTTTCTTCTCGTTCTGTTGTGATCTTTGGGTGTAGGCACGGCACCTTTCACTGCGCATCATATCATGAGTGGTTGTGACATGTCTTGGATGTTTCCAAGTTTAGGATGTTGTTCAGGTGGAGGAAAGCTGTGCTGGTAACATTTTTCATATGTGGCTTGAACGTATCTGATCAAAAACAACGCCACGGTTCTTTATGTTAGAACTGGAGCCCCATTAAAGTCATCCAGAGGAAGTGATGGAAGTGAAAAAAGGCAAAGTGTGTTCCTAAGTTGCTCCGGTCCACATACCAGAACCTTTGCCTTGTCTGAGTTTAAAAGCAGGACATGAAGACTTCCTGGTTGATGTTTTTGACCTTAAGCTTTTGTTTCTGTCTCTCAGCAGATGAACAGTCATGGACACCGTCTCCTCGTTGCTCTGTCCTCTCCTCGTCCTCCTCTCCTGCCTCCCCCCCTGCGTCTCCAACATGCTGTGTCCGAAGCGCTGCACCTGCCAGAATTTGCTGCCGTCCTACACGGTGCTGTGCGCCAAGACGGGCCTCCTCTTCGTGCCGCCCAACATCGACCGGCAGACGGCCGAGCTCCGGCTGATGGACAACTTCATCACCACGCTGAGGCACCGGGACTTCGCCAACATGTCCAGCCTGGTCAGTGTCTCTGAGCACCTTCAGGCTCAGTGCGAGCCACACAAGCAGAACGCGCTGCCAAGCAATTTGACAAGGATTTAGTGCAGCCGTGGTTCAGTTCGATTGGTCTCTGAGCTGCCTTTCATGGCTGCCTGCAGGCTCGTCAGCAATTATTACCTTGTTGTGTAATTCTGTGTTGCTCAAAACACTTTGCCCTCATGACTCAGTGTCATTATTCATGATGAGTTAAGGCTGCGGGTCACTGAAGTGTCCCGTAAAACACTGACACAGTCTGTCACTCGTGTAACGGTTACAGGACATGGCTGGATTTTTTTCAGCTTCTGTAGAATTGTTAAGTCCGATTGGATGAAACTTGTTGGAGACAGGAAAAGCTTAACGTAGCATGAGCTAGCTCTCTAACTGGTCCATATTTCTCTCGGATCACACCAAGTACAAAATAAAATCAGTTCTTCCTCCCAATGAAACAACCTCACGATGATACAAGAAACCCCTGTGTGTGTTTAAACTCTGTTGGAGCAGAATATTTAACATGTAAGACACTAACGCTTCAAGATTTTAGGTCAATCTGAGCTACAACCAACTTCCTGCGGGAGGAGTTCATTGAACCAGAACAATGGTTCTGGTCCAGTCCGTTTGCTGAACTGAAGATGCATATTTGAAGAGGTGGTGTCTTCATACTTCTCCTACTCTATAATGGTTTGGTCAGTTTGTACCCATCCTTATGTCGGTACAAGAAGGAGTCCCCTGCACTGGTTCTCTTTGTACCCACCTTCTTCTCCTAAAACTCTGAACACACTACTCCAGATGTTAATATGTGAATACTGATGTAGCTCATCGTCCTGGTTTCATTAAAGAGTTGTTCTAGATGCTGATGGCTGTTGGCAGGAAGGATCTCCTGCAGTGGATCTGAAGAAGCCTCTGACTGAAGACACTCTGTTGTTGTATGACAGTCTGATGAAGAGGATGCTGAGGGTTGTCTATAATGTTCTTCATTTGATGAAGAATCCTTCTTTGAACAATCATCTCCAGAGGTTCTCGAGGAGTCCCCAGAACTGAGCCAGCCTTCTTTATGAGCTTGTTGATCTTTTTGAAGTCACTTGCTCTGGTGCTGCTCCCCCAGCAGATGATGCAGAAGAGACAGCGCTCTCTACAACAGACTTATAGAAAATATGCAGCATCTTGCTGCAAACGTTGAAGGACTTCAGCTTCCTCAAGAAGTACAGTCTGCTCTGTTCTTTCTTGTAGACGCTTCACTGTTGCATTTCCAGTCCAGTCTGTTGTCCAGGTGAACCCCAAGGTATTTATACTTCTCCACCACCTCCACTTCTTCTCCCATGATGAAAATAGGGTTGGACCTGTTCCTGTTTCTCCTGAAATCTACAATCATCTCCTTTGTTTTGTTCACGTTCAAGATGAGATGATTGTTTCCACACCATGCCACAAAGAGGTCCACCAGTTCCCTGTACTCAGCTTCTTGTCCATCTCTGATAAGGTCATCTGAATATTTCTGCGGATGACAGGAGTCTGTTTTGTACTGGAAATCTGAGGTAGGCCTGTCGCGATAAACAATAAATCAATTAATCGCATGATAAATGAAAATTATCGACCTCGTTTTCATTCATCAGCTTCATCGTTTCTTCATGTCTCTTTCTACTGAAGACACTGGATGAAAAAAGACTCAACTCCGGTGTTCTTCATTGACCCCTCCCTTTCTCTTTTCTCTTTAAAATCCATTTTAACGAAACAAAAATCAAGTTTTTGGATCATTAAAAGCAGCTAAGCTACGAGCTAAGCTAACAAGCTGATCTCAGGGAAAAAACTTCATCTTGTCGAAGCTCCAAATTCTCGGTTGAAACTTGTGCCTTTGTCTAAAAAATTGTTTTTCTCTGCAAAAAGAAGCTGAGAACTCGTTTATTGATTTTTATTAAAAGCTTTGTGTGAAAAATGCTAAAGAGCTCAAACCACACCGAGTGTCCGCCATTTTGAGAACCGAAGAGAGACAGCCCATGTCACGTCAAGGGACCTCCCTCCCATTTTCCTTAAAGAGACACGCTGCTCACTTCCTCACTATCCACCCTTCAGTTCAAACAGCCTTATACTCCCATCGAGTGGTCAAAAAAGGTACTACACACAAAATTAACCAACATTTCTGCTTAAAATTGACAATAATTACTAATTATTGTCAAATTTCAAACAATATTATCGTTTATCGCAATAATTTCTGAGACAATCACCCAACAAAATTTGTTATCATGACAGGCGTAATCTGAGGTGTACAGAGTGAAAATGAATGGTGAGAGTACAGTCCCCTGTGGTGCTCCGGAGCTACTGACCACCTGGTTAGACACACAACCCTTCAGTCTCACAAACTGTTGTTTGTTTGTCAGGTAGTCTTTAATGAAATGTATGTATTTTATGAAATATTTACATGTATTTACAAATATTTTACTCAAATATACTGACATCATCTTTGATGTGTACTTCAGCGTACAGTTTGGGCTTCTTAAAATAAACTAGGCTTTTAACGACTACTTTTCTAGTTAGCATTTAGGTAACCATTAGCTATCTTTAGTTACTATTCAGTCCTGTGGAGCCAAAAAAGTAGGAGCCAGTTGTTTTTGTGAAGCTGACAGCGATGTCAGGTTCCTGAGGAGATGCAGTCAGACTGAAAAACCAGTGATCGTCTTCAAATCGTCCTCTGGAAGCTGCATGAACGGTTGTTTGTAAAGACACAAAGTAACTTCTGTTAATCAGCTGGTGGATGCTTTAAACCAGTTCAGAGAAAACTTTTAGTTTTACAGCCAAATGTCACACCTCCAGACATGAACGGCAGCATTTTCACAGCTTGAATAAATTACCAACAAGTTACAAGATGTCAAAAGAAAATGTGTTTTACTTAATTAAACATCATTGTGTCTTTTTGCTCCTGTGACAATAAATAACCTGTCATGACCTTTAGAAAGCTACAGTTTGATTTTAACTGAGAGCAGTTGAAGTTTTTCTCCTCTGTGGTTGGGTCATTAATCAGATAGTAACACCTATAGGTTTGAGCAGAATTTAAATATTTGTCACCTAAAAGGCATTTTGGGGAAATTCAGCCTATTGCTAGTCTGCGGATAAAGAAAAGGTTTGAAATAAAGATAAAACCAACATAGATGATGAAGTTCTCCCAGGTTCAGTCTAATGATGCGTTTCACTCTGAAGTGACAAAAGTTTTCTGGGCTTTCAGAAACATGTTAGTGTAAAAACACGAGAAATTAAAGTCAACATTTTGGCTAAAGGAACATCTGCTCCTCGTGATTCACGTTCACTCTAAAATCCCTGATATCATCTAAATTTGACAAATTATTTCCACCGTGCTCATGTGAGAGATGCCAGGAAGCTTCACGGCACACATCTCAACAAGAAACCCGCGAAGGAAATGATATTTAATCACCAAACAGCGACGCTTGACGCAGCTCGAGGCTCCTTTAGTTGGTGAAAACACGTCTCCTATCCGGTACGATGGCAGCGGAGATGTTTGCTCACACTCGGGGAGCCTTTAGAAATGAGGTTTTAATCTCTCAGCGGTGACAGATGTCCCCGGTGACGGTGGAGCGTTTCCAAACAAACGTGCGGCAGCTCGTTGACCTTTTCTCGGGCGTTAAAATGTTTTTGTGTACAGTGGAAGTATTTAGCTGCATACAGACTCCTCGCTGCAGTACTGCGTTGTCGAACAGTTCTGGTAATGAAAAACAGATTTATCAATATTTTTACCTTTATTTTCAAGGCTTGTCTCATACACAGCGCTCGTAAATCAATTACATACAGCGTCCTTATAAATAAAGGGGAGAAACAAGAATCCTGTGGTTTATCTGATGGTTTAATTAAAGATAAACCTTGATTCTTATCTCCTGTGTGGTCAAACAACAGATCTTTTAACTTCTGAGCATTGAGACTGAAAGAGTCTAACTGAATCAAAAGGTTGCATTTAAAGTACAGTAAGTGACCATCAGGAGGTTGTTGCACGTTAAAAGCTGTTTTATTGTTCAGTGGTGTGTTTATGGCCGTCTGCAGAATCTCTAAGATCTCCAAGATTTAGATCATTACAGCACAAACACCTTTCAAAAACACTGGAAACATCTGCCGTGACTTTTGATGGACTTAACCAAAAACACACAAATATGTTGAATTTTTACTACCTTGTGTTATAAGTACTTCCTTAAAACAGGATGACATGTTGGTTGTCTGCACATTCATATTAATTTGATTTAAAATAAACCTTTCAGTTGTTTGAATGCTGAATGTTTGACATTATCTTCATTGCTCACAGCATTACAGGTGCTGGTCATAAAATGAGAATATCATGAAAAAGTTGATTTATTTCAGTAATCCCATTCAAAAAGTGAAACTTGTTTATTATATTCATTCATTACACACAGACTGATATATTTCAAATGTTTATTTATTTTAATGTTGATGATTATAACTGACAACCAATGAAAACCACAAATTCAGTATCTCAGAAAATTAGAACATTGTGAAAAGGTTCAGTATTGAAGACACCTGGTGCCACACGCTAATCAGCTGATTAACTGAAAACACCTGCAAAGGTCTTTAAATGGTCTCGGTCTAGTTCTGTAGCTACACAATCATGGGGAAGACTGCTGACTGGACAGTTGTCCAAAAGATGACCATTGACATCTTGCACAAGGAGGACAAGACATATGAGGTCATTGCTAAAGAGGCTGGCTGTTCATAGAGCTCTGTGTCCAAGCACATTAATAGAGAGGTGAAGGGAAGGAAACGATGTGGAAGAAAAAGTGTATAAGCAACAGGGATAACTGCACCCTGGAGAGGATGGTGAAACAAAACCCATTCAAAATGTGGGGGAGATTCACAAAGAGTGGACTGCAGCTGGAGTCAGTGCTTCAAGAACCACCATGCACAGACGTATACAAGACATGGGTTCCAGCTATTGCATTCTTTGTGTCAACCCACTCTTGAACAAGAGACAGCGTCAGAAGCGTCTCACCTGGGACTGATGCTGAGTGGTCCAAAGTGATGTTCTCTGATGAAAGTTAATGTTGCATTTCCTTTGTAATCCAGGTCCCAGAGTCTGGAGGCAGAGGAGAGACACAGAATCCACGTTGCTTGAGGTCCAGTGTCAAGTTTCCACAGTCAGTGATGGTTTGGGGGCCCATGTCATCTGCTGGTGTTGGTCCACTGTGTTTTCTGAGGTCCAAGGTCAACGCAGCATCTACCAGGAAGTTTTAGAGACTTCCTGCTGCTGACCAACTTTATGGAGATGCAGATTTCATTTTCCAACAGGACTTGGCCCCTGCACACAGTGCCAAAGCTACCAGTACCTGGTTTAAAGACCATGGTATCTCTGTTGTTAATTATCCAGCAAACTCTCCTGATCTTAACCCCATAGAAACTCTATGGAGTATTGTAAAGAGGAAGATGTGATTCACCAGATCCAACAATTCAGAAGAGCTGAAGGTCACGATCAGAACAACCTGGACTCTCAGAACCTGAGCAGAGACACAGACTGATCCACTCCATGACACAATGCATTGATGCATGGTGTATTGTATGGGTGTACACATGTTTTATGTAATGTTTTCATTTTTACTTTATTTTACTTTATTACTATTCGCTCCTTTATGTCGAAGCAAATTCCTAGTTTGTGAACCTCGTTCATTGACATGGCGATAATAAACTGATTCTGATTCTGATGCTGCAGTAATCCAGACAAAAGGAGCAACAACTAAGTACTGATGCTGCACATGCTCATACTTTATGTTCATAATTTTCATTTGGACGACATTTCTAAAAATCATTTTTTTATTGGTCTTAAGTAATATTCTAATTTTTTGAGATACTGAATTTGTAGTTTTCATTAGTTGTCAGTTATAATCATCAACATTAAAATAAATAAACATTTGAAATATATCAGTCTGTGTGTAATGAATGAATATAATAAACAAGTTTCACTTTTTGAATGGAATTACTGAAATAATTCAACTTTTGCATGATGTTCTAATTTTATGACCAGCACCTGTATAGTTAAGTAAAGTTCTGATTTAAAATAATCTCCAGCTCCCTTTTGTTTCCTCTCAGACTTTCTCAACTCAAGTTAGTTTCTTCATCATTTTTAACTTTGCAGCCAAAGTAACTGTTGCAGGAAAAGAAATGAAGGTGCAGCAGAATTGATCCGTCAGAGCTGCTGTTGATGTCGTCTTTCCCTTCTTGTCCAGATCCACCTGACGCTGAGCAGAAACACCATCAGTCAGATCAGGCCGTTCACCTTCGCTGACCTCCAGGACCTGCACGCCCTCCACCTGGACGCCAACCGCCTCACGGTCCTGGACGACTCCCACTTCCAGGGCCTGGTGAACCTGAGGCACCTCATCCTCGCTAACAACCAGCTGCACAGCATATCAGAGGGAGCCTTCCAGGTACACACACCAGGACGTGTTTCAGCTCGAATGACACTCACCAGATTAGGAAATTTAATATTCAGAAGTAAGAACAACATCTGAACTAAGCTTCTGCTACTTCCATGCAGAATGGCTACATGCAAAATAATGGGTGCTTTCAAAATTTGGGTTGCCAAGTTAAAATCCATGACTGCTGCCGCTTGGGCAGTTCCACTCAACTGCAAACGTGTATCATCTGCCATTGAGCTGGGAGTTTGAGGGTTCTGTTCAGTATCTCAGCTGTTCGTAGGACTGAGCTCTTCTGGACAGAGATCTCCGAGGTTGTTCCTGGGGTCTGTTGGAGCCACTCTTCCAGTTTGAGGGTCACAGAACCACATGTTTCAATGACCACTGGGACGATTAACACTTTGAGTCTCCACTACTTCTGTATTTCCTCTTTCAGTCCTTGGTGTTTCCGCAGCTGCTCCTTCTTCTAGATGTCACTTGAGATTGCTACATCTATCACCACTGTCTTCTGCTCTTGCTTGTCGACCACAACAATGTTTGGTTGGTTAGTCATCACCTGCTTGTTACTCTGGATCTGGAAGTCCCACCGTATCTTAGCTACCCTTGGTGGAGTTTCCCACTTTGACAGTAGGACCTCCAGTCCATACTGGAGCTCCTACAGACTGGAGGTCCTACTGTCCTACTGGTTGAGGTTTCTGACCTAAAATCCTACCACGGTGCAAAACAAGAGAAACTACATCAGAACAGGGACACATTTCTTATCTTTTTCTGTAGATGGGAGGAGAGAAGTTCAAGCAGGTTTGGATCGACTTTGTTCTTCAGTTTAGTCTCTTTTTTCAAGTCTGCAAGTTTTATTGTGAACGCTCATCCCAACATCTCCATCCTCCTCCTAGTCTTGCTTAAAATTATAGAGGTCACAATGGTCAAGTGTTGTCTATAGTTCAAGTTAAAAACAGTTCCCGTGTGCTGAGTTTCATAATGTAAGAGCAGAAAATCTCCTGCTGTGAAAAACACAAACAACTCCTTCATAAAAACATCGAGACCAAACGTCTCCTCCATCCCTCTGAACATCATCCATGGTTGTATCTGCGCCTCCGACACGTCGTCTCTACCATGAAACAGTTTATACAAAAACAAATTTAAAATAAACAACGATTACCGGAGATATTTTTAACAGTTTGAAGAAAAGAAGTTATTTGTCTTCAGGACACTCGTGTAATTGAGGCCAGTTAGGACTCATTTTCTGCGTTTTGTACTCGTCTTCCCGGCTTTTACAGTTTCTTTTGTTGCCGAAAATAAGATTAAAAAGCAGCTGAAGCACGAGTTGTTGTGATGAAAATGGAGGAACTCTAAAATTCAAACAGTGTCCTCATTTTGTGCTTTATGAGAGCAATTACAGCTCACTTCAGCAGATTAACAAGCTGTTAATTTCCCCTTTCATGTTTCTGTCTCGCAGTGTTTCTCTTTGTGTTTTTTATTTCTGTAATGTTTTCAGTCGTGTGGCGTTTCTTCAGCGTCCTGATTATGAGCCGAGCACAGAGGCAATTAAAGAAAACAACATGCTTTGATTGATCCGGGTCATTTTCTATAATTCCTCCCATTTCCTTTTCTTCTGGGTTGGTTTTCTAGCCTTTGTTCCTCCATCATTTCATCAACTGAGACATTTTATTTTTATTTTAGAGTTAAAGAATATATTACAGGAGTGCACTACTTGCACAAACTTAAAGCAAGTCTTATCGGCAACAGTACTGTAAAATATCAAAATTAAAAAGTCCTATTGTTTTATTTTTTTGCCTTAAATGTTGATTTTACCCCTCCCCCCCTCCTTTAATACAAATACAATGTAAGATATAAACTAAGTCTTGTGGTGTGTAATGATCACAGTTTTCCTAGTATTTATAAGGGATATGTTTTTGTTGAAGTCTGGTAAAATGAACCTTAGATTGAAGTTTCTCACCTGACTCGTGTGAATTGTGAAGTCAGGGGAGCATCCATCCATCCATCCATTACCTTTACCCATTTCTTCATTTCTGGGTTGTGGGAGTCACTGGTTTTCATTTTTGCCAAGCTTACTTTGATTTTTAAACCAGAGTTTGTATTCCAGGGACCGAAAAACAGACACAGGATACAAAATGTAAGTGTTTTTATTGGTGAGTGTCAACAGGGAACGGTGCCAGGAGGATCTGTAAGGCATGGGATTATGTGAGTATCTCAAGAAATATTATTTACAGGGTGGTTAGACAGAAGGTAATGCTCTTACTATTGGTTGTTTCTTCTGAAGTCTGGGAGAGGTTGGAGGATTTCAGTTCCAATATGCAGGTAACCTCCAGGAGGTAAATGCACACAGGATGGAGGTGACAGGTGGGACCAGAGATGGATGCAGAGGCCAGTAATGTCCAAATACTTATTGCAGTTGGTGAGGAGTAAATGTGTTGTTCCAGGAGCGTACAGGAAAATGACTCAGGTGAGGGGTGGCTCAAGTCTTAGGTAAGGTTCTCAAAGGTAACTGCAAAAACACAAGAAAATGATTCTTAGTAATCACTAGAAAAATATTGAGGTAATACATTTTTCAGTGGCTAGAAGCTGAAAATCATGGCGATACAATGTTCAGATGAAGAATTGTGGAAGGTCCTCTGCTTGGATGCAGTCCCAGATCATTAGGTCTTCAGGGTCATCTGTGGTTGAACAACACACCTGTATCTTATGAGTAGCAAGAAGGTGGAGTAATGGCAGGAGCAGGAACTGAAATCCTCACAGTAGCTCCCAGTCAAGGATAGCCTCTTGGCGATAGACGTCTCTTCTCGGGATGAGCTTGATAAAAATCTGAAATAAGGCTAAGATCTAAAATAAAATTATAAGGAATCCAGGGCCTTTCCTGTGGGTCATAACCTGCCCAGTCAACCAGCTACTGGAACCCTCTTCCACTGTGGTGTACACCCAATATACAATAAATGGAAAAAGCAAGGTGGTTATTGATGAGACAGGTGGGTGGGGGGAGGTTTGTAGGAGAGCACAGGTGACTCTGGATGACAGGTTTGATTTGGGAGACGTGAAACAGGATGTATTTTCATAGACCGAGGTAACTTTAACTTAGCTGAATGTAAATGTTCGAACACAGAGTCCATAAAAGATAAAGGATATTTGTTCTTGTCGTCCTTTTTTTTGACAAATAAAAACCCAGCACCAACAGGAGACACTGAAGGACGGATGATACCAGAGGCTTAAAAATTATCAGTATAGCACTTAATAGATTCTCGTTCTAGGCCAGACAATTTATATAATCTGCTCGAAGGTAGGGGAGCTCCAAGAAGCAAATCAGTAGCACGATTGTTTGGTCGGTGTGGAGGTAAAGAGCTTTCCTTTTACTGAATGCTGGAGTCAGATCATGATAACAAGTGGGAACTCTGGATAAATCAGATTTATCAGATGGTCCTTTCCTTCTGGAGGGAGACAGCAGCTCGAAGACACTTAGCCAAAAAAAAATCTGTATTCCAACTTTCTATTTGTTTTCTTGAATTTATCACCGGGTTATGTATTAGAAGTTAGTGAAATACTAAGACCACATAGGAGGTTGGAGCAGAAAAAAACCCCCCATAAAACTCACCCCATTCATGATGGTTGCCAGAAATAACAAAGTGCACCCTTTCAGTCCTGTAGGTGATGAAGGTGATGGTTTGGTCAGTGAGAGCTGCGACCAATAGTGGTTGCTGCAGGAGGATTGTGGGAAGATGATGTTGTTCCATAAGATCATGGCTGATGAGATTCTTCTCAGTTCCAGAATCAGTCGGGGCTTGAATGGGGAGAACCACACGGTTAACAGTGTACGGCAGTAGGAATCTCAAATCAGGAGAACAAGAATCTTCACCCACCAGTCTGTCCTGAACTGTTGGTGGGCTCTGGCTTTTAACTGGGCAACCACTTGTACTGCGTGCTGCAAGTTTCAACAGCTGAGATGTGCACGATAGGCTGAACATCCTGAAAATGGACAGCATGAACCAGTTGTTACAGAGTTGTGGCATAACATCTCATTTTTGTTGGTGTTTTATTCTTACATGGGACATTGCTGCAGAGTATCTGTGGCGTTCAACAGCAACTTGTCTCCGTCCAGGAGACTCTGGAAATCATTCATTTAGTCCCAGAAACATGCATGTTGGGCTGCTTTCAGGCCCAGACCTCCTTTGCAAAAGAGATCTGCGAACTCGGTGAGATTTGCCTGATTAAATAAAGTTTAACAAATAAATAAAATAAATGTCTGAATGTCTTGTGTCATCATCTAACCTTGGTCTCATCTACCATCTTCTGGATCTTCTTCTTCCTGCTAGTTGCTCTGTTGCTTGACTCTGGCTAATAAGAGTCTGACAATTTTTGCTCGTCTTCCAGTGAAGTCCAAACCAAATCCACATCAGAAACTCAAACAGAAGTTTCTTTCAGGATCATGTTGGTTGAATGAATGACAAGAAATAAAATGTTGGTCTTCATCGTGATAGTGAACACAGTATGCAATCAGTACTGAACAAAAAACACTTATAATACCACATATACAGTAGTAACCACATGACATCATCAACAGTGTTTGATTTATGAGGTACATTTACCAAAAGCGTAAACAGATACATCAATGACATGCAGCTCTCACAAGACGGATAAGAAAGACGAGCAATAGCAAACACTGTTAGACCTAAGAGCACAAGTACTGAGTACAAGAATACTGTGGCTGTGAATCTGTAGAGGTACTTTGGATAGTTTGTTACAGTATGCAAGGTAAATTAATGTTTTTAAAATGCTGCAAACTATATTATTTTAATGTATGTTAGCTGACCTGGAGAGTCAGAAACATAAATATAGATTATTATACTGTCTGTGTGTGTGTGGGGGGGGGGGGTCTTTTTGTGTTTGTTTTTACAGCAAAATATCTCAAGAGGCCATAAAATCTCCAGGCAGATATTCTCCATCTTTCTATTATTCCATGAAAAGAATCATTCATGAGCTAATGAAAGGGACCACATTTGATGCAGAAGATAATGGAGACATCTCCGTGTCACATTCAGCTCTTCACAGTTGGACGTTGTTTAAAGAACTAACTCACTGCTTGAGCTCTTTCATGTGTAACTGAATTGTTCTGCTGCCCCTGAAGGACTTCCTGGAGACTCTGGAGGACTTGGATCTGAGTTACAACAACCTGGTGGACATCCCCTGGGAGACCATTGCTCTGCTGGTCAGCGTCAACACCCTGAGCCTGGACCACAACCTCATCGAGAACGTCCCTGAGGGAATCTTTTCCAACCTGCACAAGCTGGCTCGGTCCGTATCAGCTTCCACTGCCGCACACTTTGTGTTTCTGTCAAACACCGTTGTCACATTTAGTCATCTCGTAACTTTAAAGATGCAGTCCTCTCAAGTTATTACTCACACCTTGTGAGTGCAAAGTGTGTGAGATCACGATTTTAGCTTGTTTTTTTTAAACATGCAACTCATGCAGGATAAAGTTAAACTAAAATCCCTTTTACGATTGATCACGTGAATTTTAAATTAAACTGAATTAATTCTGCTCAGTCGTTGATCTTTTAAATCCAGGAAGCTTCTTCAGGTTCACGGTCCTGCCGGCTGCAGCATGGATGTTAATGATGATGCAAGTTGCAGACCTCACTGACGCTGCGGGCGGACGGGGGGGTGAAGCGGTGCAGATTAATGAGGAAACATTGCATTGTGGGTCTGTTTACACATGTTCTACCTCCGAGTACGAGTTCAGTCAAATCTGAATTATTGTTTCACTGAACTGTGAGCGCAGGTACGGCTGAAAGAACGCAC